CTGGGGAAACTATTTTGTAATTTATTACACAATGTTAGATTCAGTGGTTGCTATCTGAAAAAGCATAATAGATATTTTTGCATTCCAGCTCTGAAATAAATTACATGTGTGAAAAGAATATTTAAATGTGAAAAATTAAAGCATAATTATACATATATACATACACACATACAAATACAGGGTTGCACTTAAAAAACAATCTTCAACCGAGAAATCCTTTCTAACTTTCCTATGAAATTCAAAAGTCATAGAAGTTTGGTAAATTTGGTTACTTAAAAATTAAGTTGTATATAGTGAAATATAAGTTAAGAGCAAACCTCAAACCAAGAAAAATTAGTTTAGGAGATATGATAAGCAAAGGTCTGATTTTTCTATATTACAGCTGAAAAATAAAGACACACCTGGTGAAATGGTAGGACATAAACAAACACACTGCTCACAGTGGGGGAAGAAATAAACGCAAGATACTCTACTCTATAAACAAAATAAATATACATAAAAGCAATACAAATTGAGTTTTCCCCTATCAGATTAACAATCTCTCTTTTCCTTCACAAAAATCTGGCATGGAGTTTACAACCGCTCAACACCACCTTTCTGCTAAGTTTCTGTGGAATAAATCTCAAGGGGAAAGAATCACTAAAAAAAAAAGCTGTTATTACATAGGAAATCCACTATTCCATCGTCCTCACAGGAAATATATAATATATATAATCATGTAAAACAATTGCTCAATTGCTCAATCAAGTTCTCTCCTTAGTAACAGTTATTATCCAAGAGTAGAATACCATTTAAAACATATAAAACTTTATATAATTGCAGGTATTCCTAAGTAAAAGAGGAACCAAAATTTCAGACAAAAATAATATTCTATTAATATTGCGTGTCCAGAGACACTCGAGGACAAGTCAGAGGGCCATGTTTCAATGTGTATCCTTTTCCCTCTTCCAATTGTGTAGCCTCTGTAATTACTATCTATTCATAAAACAAAATGAAATTTAAAATCCACTACAAAGGAAAGTGTGATCTTAAATCTCAGAGAACTGAAATGTACAGCTTATAATCCTGCATCACACTAAGGCCGTTTCCCACCCACCTAAGGCAGTAAGCAGCACCGTTTCCGAGAATCTTGTTCCTCTGACGCAAACAAGGTAGTAGATGGTACTGAGAGGCACTTCGCTCACATCTGTGCCGTCTCCCATACTAGGGAAAACCTCAGAGCTGGGAGCCCACATGCGCAGTAATACATATTTCTATCAGCCTAATCATTTCTAGGAAAACACAGGTTATCATTGGATAATACTTTGCCATGGGAGATAACTCAGGACCAGTTAGTGTCCAATAACAACGTGGATAAATATCCTGTTAAAACATTATGTTATAAAAAACACACACCAAAAACACATTTTGTTATCCTGTTGTCTGTCTTCTTTAGAAAGGTGTCTAACATATTTTATCCCCTCCAATTTAGAAGTCTTATCTTCCAAAACAGTCACTAACTAGAATGATACATTTTACTTGATCTCTTAAAAAAGTAAGAATTGAGAAAGTAATTAACACCACTCTGTCAAATAAAATAGTATTAACAATATTGGGCAATGAACACAATCTAGATGAGTAATTCTGACCTACTAAAGTTATTCTAAGATAGTTATACTAGAGTAATGTATGAGGCACTAGTTTAGCTATTAAATAGTATGGTTTGTAGTAGTCTTAGCAAATACTTTGCAAAAGTAAAATTTAACTTTAAGTATTATGTATAAATAAGTTACTTAGATGCAAAATTGTCACATTATAAAGTGCTAATTTAATATGGCTCACAAATACTTAGCTTTAATGCTATACTTAGCTACAGGAGCACAACTTAATGAAATAAATCTGAATGAAATGAAATGCTTTTGAAATAATGGACATTAAAAATATATACCTGAATACCCAAATAAAAACAATTCATTGGTCCATGACTTTAAAGACAGAATAAAAATAAATATTATATTTTCCCACTAAGTATTCTAAGTAGAACAATGTCAAATAACTCATGTTGGAAAAATATGCTATAAGTTATGAATTGCAACAAAAATTAGGCTTTATATTAGAACCATTTTCTCAAATAAATGTATGTACTTTATACAAGAGTAAGGTGACCAGATGTGCCGCTTTTGGCGGGACAGTCCCAATTTTTCACAATTTTTCCTACGTCCCACGGCGTTTTAAAAAGTCCCAATTTTTGGAAAGAATGCAGGACAAGCTAGGGTATATGGTTTTCGGCTGCCATGTGGCTATTTCACCAGAATATGAGTTTTATCAATGGTGTCCCACTTTTGTCCCGCTTTACCAATGTTAAAAAATCTGGTCACCTTAAACAAGAATGCTGCATGGATTTAATGTATGTATTCCTACTTAAAGATGACCAGTTTAAAAGCCTACATATGATATTTTCCTTTTAAATAAGAATAATACATCCAACTCCTGTCACAGTGCTAGTTACAGAACACATTTCCACCGCACCTCACCAGTGAATGGAAATAACTAGACGCTTTCCCCGTGGTGCTTCTAAATTAGCCATCCCGGGAACAGCTTGTGTAGTGAACTCGGGTAGGTCAAAACATGGGCAGGACTGTGCTCATCAGCAACTGTCAGCCGCGGCGTGAACAAGTTGAACTGTAAAGGGTCAAGGAGCGACAGCCATACCATGATGGGTTTTGAGCACCCTACTAAGATACCCGACATTCGTTGGAATCAGGGTGAATCACTTCCAACAATGGATTCTACCTACATGGTAAGTGATACAAGATGTGAAACTGTTCCCAGAGTTAGTCAATACATATCTTACAGACAAGCATGTTTTAAAATCAGGGAAGACGTTTAACGTGCCAATACTTTGCAGTCTTTGATATTTCCCACTGAATAGCAGGTTATGCAAGGGCATGTATATTTCCCGTTATGTGGTGAAAGTAATTATATATTAATTAACACGTGCTGAGCTCCTGATGGGTGCCGGAAGATGTCCTAGGCTCTCCCAAACGCTCATTTGACTTGCACATGGCCTCAGATAGGTTTAATTGGCCCCATTTGACAGATCACTGAATGAGCATAGACAAAGTAGAACTAAATAAATGTTTGGTAACAGTGCCAAAAATGGTAACATTATAAGAAAGCATAAAAATAAAGAAGAAGCCTTGCCTAAGTTTGGAAAGCAGTTTTCTCTATTGTAGAAAAGGAGCAATTTCAGAGCATTCTTATGTTATATATATGCTTGTGTTTGGGTGCTGAAAGTATTTCAATATTGCATCCATCCATTGAATAACCGCAGCCTATCCGTCGTCTTCCCTATACACACGATACTTTTTATTTTTAAATTACAAAATTAGAACATTACTATTGGTTTTGCTTATAAAAGTAATTTAAACCTTCAAAGGCTCTGAAAACATTCACATATTCAACTAATGTTTTCTTAACATGAACTTGACCTTCATTCAATAACTTGGCAAGCTAATCCTTTCACAACAAGGAGTAAATAAAAGCTGTCTGCATAATAAAATTGGTTCTTACAGAAGACAAGTATTTTTAAAGACACAGGCTGTATTGTTTTTCTTAAGAGACTCTTCACTTATTCAGTAGGAGGGCCACTTCAAACAAGAGACAGTTATGCTTAAAATGTTATGATTAAATGTGAAAAATTACATATCAGGGACTAAAGTCTTGCTTGAGGAAGAAAACAGACTTTTTAAAAGCTTTGTGTTGCTTAGCAAATAGCGATGGCTTTATCATTTTAGATTAATGAATTTCTTAAGAGTGAAGAGAAAAAGCTCGGTAGTTGGAAAATATTTCTACACAACCATGGAATTATATTTTCATATAGTATAATCTTAACTATTCCCTGCTTTAAGCATCATTACATTCTTTTTCTCCAAAAGAGGATGCTTAAGATATGTATACCTGGAAGGTAATTTGTTTTATTTTACAATCTTCAAAGTTGAAACAGAACAAAACTTCTTTATGGAATTAATACTGGTGATAAAGCTATGTCAAAATCAAGAAATGATACCAGAAATAGCCCTTAGGAAGTCATGAGATGGAATAAGAATAAACATTACAGCTATTAATTTTAAGCTTTCCAGTTGATAGGCAAAACTCATAGTTCTTTTAATTACAGAAATGCAAAAATAAAAAGAAACCTGACTAGCTATTTTATCTCCATGCAATTCATAAATTAAGGATTACTGTTACAACCCTAAAAAAAAAATACCTTAGAGGTGACCCACTTGATAAGAACGGAGGCCAGACACCAGATCAATGTAATTCCCACTGGATCAATCTAAAGTCCGTTACATAATCCCACCTCCCTCCACTAGTGAGCAAGAAACAAGGGTGACTTCTGTATTTAGTAAATAAATCTCATGCTGTCCAGAGGCGAGAGCGAGGAGACCCTGGCTTTGGTCCTCCAGCATCTGCCTTTGCATGCACGGCAACCACCTGACTTCTTGGAGAACACATGGCCCAGCCAGCCTTTCTGCTGAGCACTGGCTTCAGACCACAACACAAGGGGTGGGGGTCAAAGAACTAATAAAGTTGGAAGAAGCAAAACAAAAGAAAACTCAGTGAGGGCTGACCTAACAGTCTCACCAAAAAAAAAAAATAGACTAAAGACAAGCCCCAAACAATCCTAATACTAGCAGATAGCTTCACAAGCATTAGGTTGAGACAGTTAAACATCTTAATATAGTTTACTCTATTTTTTCAGCTTCAAATAGAGTGTGCCCAACTTTATTCTTGCCCTTGCTGTAAATGATACCTGAACTACTTCAACATTATAACATAGTCATTAATTCACTTTGAATTTACTGACCCAAAGACTGTGCATTTTCAAATAATGTAATTGAAAGCATCTGATCTTTGAGCCCATTTCAATCCATGCATACAATAATTTGGGGGTATGTGTCTCATTCTCTCTTTTTTTTTTTTTGCACTTGAAGGTTTTTGTTTTTATTTTTTCACAATTTTGAATTAAAAAAAATCATTTTATTAGGGACTCATACAACTCTTTTCACAATTTGTACATACATCATTTGTGTCCAGCACATTCGTACATATGTTGCCATCATCATTCTCAAAACACCTGCTTTCTACCTGAGCCCTTGGTATCAGCTCATTTTTCCCCTCCCCTCTGCTCCCCCTGCCCCCTGAACCCTTGATCATTTATAAATCATTATTATTACATCATATCTCACACTATCCGACGTCTCCCTCACCCACTTCTCCGCTGTCCGTCCCCCAGGGAGGAGGTTATATGTAGACCTTGTCATCTGTTCCCACTTCTCCCTCACCTTCCTTCCACCCTCCAGATATCGCCACTCTCTCCACTGGTCCTGAGGGGTTCATCTGTCCTGGATTCCCTGTGTTTCCAGTTCTTATCTGTACCAGTGTACACCCTCTGGTCCAGCCGGAAATGTAAGGTAGAATTGGGATCATGGTAGTGGTGGGAGGAAGCATTTAGGTACTAGAGGAAAGTTGTATGTTTAATCGTTGCTACCCTGCAACCTATGCTGGGTGAGCGCTCTTCAGAATTAAGTGTATCTACCATATACTGACTCCTCCTGAAGTCTTGGGCTACTCACCACAAGGTCAGCAGTTCAAACCTGCCAGCCAGTCTTTGAGAAACAGAAGCTGTCTGCTTCCATGAAACTTCGTAGTCTCAGCGCCCATAAGCAGCAGCTGGACTCTATTTTATGGGGTCATTCTGAGTGGGAACAGACTCGGGCAGTGGGTGAGGACAGTGAGGGGACTTTAAGCATGGGTAGCGGAGTAGGCACCGGATAGTAGTTCAGAGCCAGCTCAGAATCCAGGGGGAGCAGTCAGGTGACCTGCGTTGGATGGCAATGGTGGACAGAGATGACGAGCATCTCATCTCAGTGGATGGCAGCTGCTGGCCAGATAAAATCACCTCTATAGCAAGGGCATACCAAAGAGGGTTCTAAAATATCTTCAAATGAGCCAAATGCTTTAAACACTAATAGTATTTTCAGTAGGCAATCCTTGGAACCAGGAGTGTGCGTGTGTATGTTAATTGTAGACCTGTCAAAATATTATATACGGCGATCTTAATACAATGTTTCCTAAACCGCGACCATTCATGAAAGATGGCCACGAACTGCTGCTCTACAACCTGTGGTGTGTGACGTGCGGCTCCTTTGCTGCCACACTAGGTGGTGTATGCCACTGCGATGCCAATCTCTGCCCAGAGAACATCTTTATTTTGTTACAAGACTGGGTGCAGCCGGGAGAGTGGCGGGTCCCCATTTGTTCTCCGTAATCCAGTAAGGTCCCAGCCACCAACCTTACAGGATGCCCAGGAACGGGGCAAAGCCAAGCCATGTGTATTGGCCTAGTTGTCAAGAGAAAAGGTGGCGGTCATCTGTAATAGGCCAGGCAGCCTCTGCCAGTGGCTGATGGCAGTTTGTAATCATTATCAATTCCTCTGGTCAGCCTTGTGGTTGCCAAATTAGCCCAGGAAAGCGGCACTGTTTTTCATGGTCCGCACTTCCTTTCCCATCAGCTGCTCAAAAGAGAGTCACAATTTGAGAGACACATTGCTAGATTTGGTACCCTTCCCACTTCCAAAACAAAACAAAAAACCCACGCCACTGTGGATTCTGACGCTACAGAGAGTTTCTGAGATGGTCAGTGTTTATGGGGCCAGGCACCTCACCTTTCCTCCATGAAGCGAGTGGCTGTGGGTTTGAACTGCTGACCTTTCTGTTACCAGCCCAACACCTCACCCAACCCACCACCAGGACTCCTTGTTTTTGGAACAGGACTTAGATATTTTAAATAATGATTCTCTTGGCTCAGGGTGAACTTTAGAATTGGCATTTTCTTTAAATCTTAGGTTGAATCAGAGCTGAGACAAATACAAAAACAGACAGACAGTAGGGGGGAAAAAAGAGTTCACTCACTTAAAAGAATTTGTGCTGAGACTTTCCACCATCTCCAAAGTCCATCAGGCTTGAAGACAAGGAACACACCCACGACAGTCAAGTAGATTCTGTTTCATGGTGACCCTGTACAGGGCTTCTGAGCTGCTAATCTTCCTGAGACCAGAGTATCAATCGTTCTCCTGCAGGGCCACTGAGGGCTTCAAACTGTTGACCTTGTGGCTAGTAGTTGACTTGTAACCTACTACAGCACCGGGGCTCCTGGACCAGAGCCGGAGCAGAGAGCACTGTGAAGTTGATTGTGCTAGGCCTAGTTAGGTCAAAAGGTAATACCTTATCATTTGATTTTCCTTTTTGATTTGTCATAAAGCTGTTTCAGTTAAAAAACAAAAACAAAACAAAGTGAAGGGGGAATACGCATGGATTAACCCCCTGGTGAATGCCCTCTGACCATGGACCAGGGATGTAAACCACCTTGCTAAGGTGCAGAATATCTTGGAAAGTGGGTTGTTGGGAATGTAGCTAGGTTAAAATATGGCACCCTGTCATTCAATCACCTTTATGATCTATTTTATATTTGTGCCCATTTTTAATATTTTCTTTCTTTTCAGTTGAGGTTTTTATCTGTTTACTTTGCTATTCTTGTTAGTTTTTTTAATTATTATTTTGCTGTACATGACATTCCAGATAGATAAATCTGTAGAAACAGTGACTGGATTACTGGTTCCTTAGGGTTATGGCAAGGGGGTATTAAGGAGGGAAATGGGGAGCTAATAAAGATGAGTACAAGAATGAAGAAAGTTCTAAAACTGATTGGTGTGATGGCTGTACAACTCTTCTTGATGTGACTGAACTGTTGCATTGTGTGAGAGGTGACTTGCATGCCAATGAGACCGTTGGGGGGCAAGAGCCTGGATTTATGCCTGGGCTTTACTGCCAGGAGCCGAGCGACTCTGGAGAGGCTACCACGGACGGACGTGCCTCTCACGCACTGGAGTGAATTGAGAGGCACAGCAGGGTACCTAGCTCAGGTAGGCTCTCCTCACAATTTGGCTGAACCAGAGTGAACAATGTAAGACCTAAGCATAACGATAATGCCACATCCTAAGCACGCTTGCTTCACCTGACTTGTAGTTTACCACGGTCACACAGTCCAGAAGAGAGCCTGCATGGATGCTTGCTTACCAACTGTCCTGCAGAAGCCTTCTTGGCCATGCTGGGAGGAGGAACTTGATTTTCATTTTCACATCAGCCCATATGTTGGCTCTGTAAATTGGCTTTACTTTTTTTTTTTTAATTTACTATTTAATTTTTTTTTTTTACTATGTGTCTGATATTGGAATGCAAAGATACTCAAGACATAATCCTCCCGGCTCAGAAAACGTCCTATCTGAATAGAAATAGCTATTGATTTTAAGCCCCAGTCACACATCTTCTTTGTGAATCACACCTTTACACGACACTCTTCTCACTCCTTGCCATCGAATCAATGCCAATGCATAACGAGCCTATCGGACAGGGCAGAACTGCCCTGCTGGGATTCCGAGACCGTCACTCCTGATGGGAGAAGAAAGCTTCATCTCTCTCCTGGGGAGCAGCTGGTGCTTCCAAACTGCCGGCCTGGCCCCCAGCAGCCCAACACACCCACACAAAGCTCATGAAAACCTTGATCAACACAGCATTTCTCTTTAGATAGTTTTAAAAGTTCACAATATTTCTTGAAGTAGTAGTTATACTCAGAACCTTATTTCATTTTTCATGATTTTTAAAGATCAAATCTTCTACTTTAGCCAGTGGCAAAAAGATCTTCCCCTACTGAAAGATACACTACTTTTCAGTATTCTGTAGATTTCCTTTAGAAATTTTACAGAAAAAAAAAAAATTTAAAAATTTAACTCCAGATAAAGCATTTTCGATAAGATGAAATAAAAACAAAAGTTATGATTAAAGTAGTTGGGATTCTCCTTTATGTTTATTTTTTAAAAGCCTCCTAAAATGAATATTTTCAGAGTTAAATTATATAATTTATTGTTCTATTAAAGTGGCCTCTTTTATGCTAAGGAATTATTAACTATTTTATTCAGCTGTCACATATCTGGTGAAACAAGGTAGGGTAGCAATAGATCAGTTAACTAAAAAACACATAGAATACACATAAACTTTTGGAAACGGACTGTGACATGACAACAGGGTCATATAAAGTGTCTACCTTGCTGAGGCTTATAAGATAAATATCCGAAAAAAATCAAATTACTAGCAAATCCCACTATTTTATGAGTGTAATCAATAGGAAGAAAAGGCATGGCTTTGATCAACATTTTTTTAGGGAATCAATCCAAGAGCAAATTTTTTCTGCCACCCACAGGACACCTGTCAATCTTGGCGATAGCTTTCAGTGATCCATATAGAGAGTCAGCATGTCTCTCTGTTGACCAAATTAGGCTCACCTCATCTGCATTGACATCAGTGTCTACAATTTTGGAACCCCATGGACAGAAATAGTTGATCACAGAGCTGTTTTCACAAATGAAGTGCCCGGAGAAAACTGTAACCATATTTATGGCAGAGAAAAGCAAACACCAGAGTCAAAGCCCTCCAATTGTGCTTCATACTTCAGAATTCCAGCCAATTTGAAAAACAAATCACAAATCAGAATTTTTTGCTGTTGTTGTTTTACTTTAAAAAAATTTATATATATATACATAAACATGTGTACATACACACACACCAGAGATAATATTGTTCAAATTGTGTGACTTTCAACAGATATGAAACTAAGAGTAAAATTAAGATTACACAACTAACAAAAGTTAAAAAAAATTCTGGCAGCATATGAGTTTTATCAGTCAACTGAGCTTTCTGTCATAGACCTAGAATGCCTATGTTCTCTGTACTACAGTATACTGTATGACAATGGGCATGTAATACAGCATACTGTATGACAATGGGCATGTAATACAGCATACAATGGACATGTGCTTCTTCCTATTAAGGAAGATGGCAGTTTATAAACATGCAAGTCTTTTGGTCTAGAAAATGACTTCTTATGATATTAAATAAAGCTGTATGTGTATTTATCTGTTTCTAATCTTTACCAAATCATGAAGTAGAAAGTTGTCACAAAATGTTTGACAAATGTGCCATCCATTTTCATAAAGGAAAAAGAAAAAGAAAAAAAATTAAAAGCAGTGTAGCTTTCATAACGGTAGTGTTTGAACTTAGAGGAGTCACGAGGGTGGGGTGGGGGAGGAAGGGAGGGAGGGGGGGGAAAGACCAGCTGATGCCAAGGGCTGGAGTCAAAAGTAAATGTCTAGAAAATGATGATGGCAACCTATGTACAACTATGCTTGATACAATGGATGCATGGATTGCTGCAAGAGCTGAGAGAGCCCCAACAAAATGGGCTTCCTTTACGCACAAAGTTGCAGCTATGCTGGACCAGGAGAGTCACAGACACTGGGCACCCTGATTTCAGCAAGTCGGCAAACATAGCTTCTGGTCACATTCTTAAGAAAGAGACAGAGCGACCAGAGTCCCATGGGCCAGTTAGGCCGACTCTGGGCTGACTGAACAAACATACCCAGAGAGATTAAGTAAGTACCTGATAGCAGCCTTGTAGAGTTCTAGAGGTAACTAAACAGAATTCTGCATTTGACCTTGCCTTGCAGCACATTTCTTTGGAGGCGGGGCAGACAAATGCATATCAAGTCTGCAAATCAAACTCAATGGGTGAATCAGCATGCTGAATTACCAGCTTAAAGAAATAAATTCTTCACTTTGAAATCAACCTGCAAGGGTATAGAACAGAAATCATAATAGAAAAACCTCACAGGAAGTTTAAATTTCAAGTTAATAAGGGGCAGTAGGTGTTGGTTATTTAGGGAGGCATTGAGAGTCATACAAGAATTTAGGTCAATTGAGAAGGTGGGGGGGAGGTGGAGCAGAGATCCCAAACCCAGTAGATAACAGGATATCTCCTCACAGAAGGGTCACAAGGATGGGATGAGTCAACCAGGGCACAGTATAGCACCGATGAAACACGCAATATTCCTCTGGTTCTTTGAAGCTTCCTCACACACACACCCCACTACCATGACCCCAGTCCTGCCTTTCAGTTCTGGCTAGGCTGGAGCATGTACACTGGTACAGATAAGAGCTCAGACACGGAATCCAGGTCAGATAAACCTCTCAGGAACAGAAATGGGAGTAGTGATATCAGGAGGGGAGGGGGTAGGAGGGGGCAGAGGGAAGGTAGGGGGAACCTATCACAACGATTGACACCCCCCGCCCCACACACACATACACACACCGGAGGGATGAAAAACAGAAACCTGGGTGAAGGGAGATAGTAGTTGGTGTAAGATATGAAAATAATAATAATTTATCAAGGGGTCAAGAGGGAGGGAGGTAAAAAAAAGAGGAGCTGATACCAAGGGCTCAAATAGACAGAGTAAGATATGACAAAATAATAATTTATAAATTATCAAGGGTTCATGAGGGAGGGGGGGCAGGGAGGGGGGAAAATGAGGAGCTGATGCCAGGGGCTTACGTGGAGAGCAAATGTTTTGAGAATGGTAAGCATAACGAATATGCAAATGTACTTTACACAATTGATGTATGTATGGATTGTGATAAGAGCTTTATGAGCCCCCAATAAAATGATTTTTTAAAAGATAAGAAAATAAGTGTCTAGAAAATGATGATGGCAACACATGCTTGCTACAATTGATGTATGGATTATTATAAGAGCTGTACAAACCTCAATAAAATGATCATTAAGGGGAAAAAAAAAAGAATTTAGGTCCAGAATTCTCCCACTGTCCTCCATACAAGTCATATGTATGGGTGTGTGTGTGTGGTGGTGGTAGTGGTGGTGGGGAGCTTCAAAAAATGTGTTGTGGGAAAACAGAATTAAAAGCAAATGGAATTTTCCCATGAGCTTTTTGAATCCCCTCTCATAAGCTGGAGCTTAAGGCACAACATCCCAGCAGAAGATGCATAGCTATATCACATTTTCAGGCACAAGTAAAATGAATATGGGAGGCATGGTTGTAGGAAAGGAATGGTTTTAGGCAAAGAAAGGAGAAAGCGGGACAAGACTGATGAACCTGGGGGAAGTTTAGCTTGATTCTTTAAAATACATGTAAGCCAGCAGAAGCCTGGGGGAAACAGAATGTGATGCAAAATTGCCCTTTAAATACTGTCTATAATTTCACAACCCACTGTCACCTTGGAGCTAGTTCCAGCTCAAAGCAACCATATGAGCCAGGGTGGACCTGCCCTCTCAGGCTTCCACAGCTGTCAAGCATCATGGAAGCCGAGTGCTGGGCAGCTGGTGGGTTTTCACCGTTGACCTTTTGGTGGCAGCCAAACATTTCAACCAGCGCACCACCAGGAATCCTCACAATAAACATCAAAGTATTTGGTCAGTCATACTAAGGAGTCTGAATTGTGTAAAAGGACAAAGGGAAGCCATCGGAAGGTCTTAGAGAGAGAGTGGGGATTTGCTTCAATGTTTCAGGAGAAGGTTAAGTAGTACTCCAGGGGACATCCGGTGGAAATGCTACTTCAGCGGCTGAGTCTTTGGACATGAGAGTTATCCACTACTAATCTACGGGGAGGAAGACTCCCCACGGAGAGAAAAGATGATGGCTAAAGCCGAACGTTTTAGGGTCACAAAAAGGCGCATATTGGGATTGTGGGGGCAAAAAGCCAAGGCTCACGGACATAGTTTCTCCTTCAACTTCAATAGCACCACTACCCTCACCCCTGTCGGTCTGGTCTGTATTCTCTCGTACACACATGTACAAATGACATTCCTTTCCCTCTCACCCCTCCGTCATGTACACGCCAGCACAGAAGCAGCTTTGGATTTCACAAGCTCATGAATAAATGCAACAAAAGACAAGATCCGGGGTCTGCCTGAGGTATAGAGTGCCTCCCAGTCACATTCAGACTAATGGGATAAAATGAGTAATCATTGCATTCTAGTCCCGCTTAAGTAAGAAAGTTTGAGTCAAATCATGTGCAATTTGACATCCATTAGCTGGGAGACCATGCTACAAAATTGTGCTGGTTGGCAAAATGATAGCCATCTCCTGGATTTCTTAAACTATCTAAGGTTACTATCATTTTAGTGAACTTAATTAATATTAAAGTCAATTAAGACCGACTGTAATGCTCCCTTACAGAGCTCCAACTAGAATAATATATAC